AGTCGATGCAGGCATCCGTGATGCTGACGCCCTTCTTCAGGGCCGCAGGTCCCTCGGCGGGCACCTTCTGGTTGCCCTCGTTGATGTTGGACTCGATCATGACACCGACGATGGCCTTCTCACCCTCTCTCAGCTGCTCGCCAATCACCTGCGCCACCTTGGGCTGGTTTCGGTGGTCCTTGTTCGAGTTGCCTAGCCGAATTAGTCCATTGCCCAAACAATTGCCGCACTCATCGTCACCATTCTACACCGAACAAAAGGGATGGCAAACGTACCATGTGAGCAATCGACCATGATGGCCATCTTCTGGCCCTTCTTGATCAACGTCTCCTTGGCCAATTGGATGTTCTCCTTGTCGTAGTTGGGGCCCCTGGTGCCACCTCTCAAGATGACGAAACCGTGCTGGTTGCCCGAGGTCCTGGTGATGGCGGCCAATCCTTGCTTAGTGACACCCATGAAGTGGTGCTTCGAGGCGGCGGCCCCGATGGCGTCGATGGCGACTCCCAAGTTCCCGTCGGTGCCGTTCTTGAAGCCGATGGGGAAGGACAAACCCGAGGCCAACTCACGGTGCAACTGGGACTCGGTGGTTCGGGCGCCGATGGCGCCGACGGAGATGAAGTCGGCGAGAAACTGGGGGGAGATGGTATCCAGCATCTCGCTCGCGATGGGCATGCCGGCGTTGGTCAGGTGGCTGAACATCTGGCGGGAGAGGCGGAGGCCCTTGTTGATCTTGAAGCTGTTGTCGATGTCGGGATCGTTGATCAGGCCCTTCCAGCCGACCGTGGTACGGGGCTTCTCCAGGTAGGCGCGCATGATGATGCAGAGGTCATCGGACAGCTTGTCAGACAGGGCCTTCAGGCGCTGTGCGTATTCCTGGGCGGTGGCAGGGTCGTGGATGGAGCAGGGGCCGACGATGACCAGGAGGCGGTCGCTGCGGCCCATGATGATGGCGACGGCGTCACGACGGCCCTTGACGACGGTTTGGAGCGAGGCATCGGTCATGGGGATTTCGGAGATGAGAAGAGCGGGCGGGATCAGGGGATCCTGGCCCAGGACTAGTGTGTCGCTGTATATCAGCATGACGAACACCCACGATAGACTGGACCAAGGCGCAATTGCGTGTCAAGCCATAGAACAACAAGAGACGGGTTGCCCCGTGAAAACGGTGGAGGACCTTCCCATTGATATCCATAGCCCATTGTGCGGTGTCCAGAGCGCATCCCGTATCAACAGAGAAGGCGCCGCACAAGCCCCACAAGATAAAGCCGTGCCCAAAGGTGGCTACGTACCTCTCATGTCATCGGCCTTGAGCAGCTCCATGTCGACTCCCGGCATGATGCAATGTTGAAAATGACTGGTCTGCTACTGCGACTCGGAGCAACAGCAGGGGCGCCGATGCTGGCAGGACACCGTTTGGGATGATTGGCACAAGAAACCGAGGACTCGGGATCACTCGAACGAATGTAGATTGATTGATTGGGCCAGCGATAGTGCGATAGTGCGATAGTCGACGTAGCAGCTGAAAGCTGAGGGGAACCAGGCTGGAAATGGGGGGGGGGGGGGGGGGGTGGGTAGGAACCTAAGGTGGCAAAACTGGGGGTATGGGGAAAGGCGGTTCGAGACAGAAAATATAACAAGAAGAGAAGGTAGTTGGGTTGTGGACGATTTATTCCCTGGTGTTGAGAAATGAGTCAGTCAGTCAGTCGATCGAGGCTCGAAATTGAAAAAAAAAACAGAAAAAAAAACTTTGAAAATAAAGTCACTGGTAGAGGTAGGTGAGTCTGACTGGTACGAGGAGGGTCCGAGTCGGCCAGTTCCTACATGTACTGTATGTACAGTACAGTACAATACAATACAGTACTGTACATACATACATCCTGAATATGTACCTAGCGTAGTGCTAGGGCAGCCCATACATGCCTACATACCTAAACTCTTGGATTTAATAGCGCCGGTGTGTGCGTTCCTGTATGTAAGACGTGTTTTAAAGGAGCTGAGTTTCCAATTCTGTAGTTTTCAGCTCTAAAAATATGAATAGACATTCAAGTCAATGGATAAAGAAGGAATGGTACCAATCCGTTGCAAGCTGTGTTGATGTTGTTGATGCGTCACTCCACGCGCGCTTAGAGAGAATGCCGGTGACGGAGCATTGGCTCACAGGTAATCTGTACATTAGGTACCTACTGCACAGTAAGTACTGTACAAGAAAGAGGGGCAAGCGATGAGATGGAGGGGCATCCGCTGTATGTAGTACTGTCAGATAGAATTGTCCAATCACGTAACACACAAATCTCAGCATCCATCCCATCTTCATTTAGTTTCATTGTGCTTGCTTCACTTCATCTTTCCCTCCCTCCAGCAACCTCCATCCCGTGGCTAGCTTTTGCCTTGTTTTTCTTAGCTTTGCTTTTGAATGCTACATCATATCTATAAGCTGACACATGCCCGTACTCAAGTAATGCATGAACAAGGCCATGATTGACGAATCCTATATTACCTACACGCAAGGCGGCAATGGCTCGACACGGATTGTGACAGCTCACCGCCGTTCCAGTCCAGTTCGGGCCAATGGCATCATCTGCCCACATCACGCCCTCTCCTGCATCTTCTCCGAGGTGTGTTTGGCCAAAGCCTTTGGCCAAGGTAGGCTTCCTGTCCTCCCATCCGATATGTGAGAATCTGCTGTCATTCTCGCCCGCTCGTTACACCATGCCAGATAAGCATGCAAGGTCCTACATGCAGATGCACATATTAAGGATCGGTAGCGCAAAAGAAATCCATCGTTGGTACTACCCTTGTGCTTGGATATCCAGTACTCGTGCTACGACTAATCTTGTCCCGTGCCGGCCGCTTGTCTCTTTTTCGGCGCCCGCTCGGGAGATATACATGAAAGACGTCCGGGAAACCAAGAAGATGTCATCGGGGACCTGACCTCATGAAAGCGGGTGCTCCTCGGAAAGGAAAAAAGGAAAAAAGGAAAAAAAGGGGGGTGGGAGGGGGGAGACGACAGGCGGGCGCTTGCCCTCAAGCAAGCAAGCAAAGTCTTCTCCTCTTCCACTCCTCCGATCTTAAGTTCCTGATCACGGTTATTAAATTCTAGCAAGCTACTCAAGGCCGTATGGAGTTGACATCTTACCCGTAATAGACGCTAGACACGGCTAAATGCTGCCAAAGTTCCTGCAATGTAACGGAGGCCAGTGATCCGCAATGCTGGGGAAATCTCCACAGCGTCACGCTTGAAAGGCAACATATATACCCCCATCAATACTGATGTTGTCGTTCAAACCGCCCCTCGCCGCCGGCGTTCCTGTCTTCACCCCAAATAGCAGACACAGCCCGACTGTAAATCACCCACTTAGAGATGTTGGGGGACACGAAACTCAAGCTGTTGTCGGCAGCAGCCTGTCTACTATGGGCATCGTGTGTCGCCGGATCGCCTCTAGATGCCGAGAAATTAAAGCAGAGGCAAGATGCTGATTCTCATTGGGTCGCCACGTGGACGTCGATGCCGCAGCTGGTTGAGCAGAACAACCTGCCCCCGTCTCCCTTCGTAAGTGTCATGGTCTCGCCGAGTCACACCCGCATTCTCCGGCACCTAATGTACCGACGTAGACTGGAAACGGCGTATTTAGAGATGCCACGCTCCGGCAGACGCTCCACATGTCCATCGGGGCCGAGAGAATCCGTATTCAGATCTCCAACACTTTTGGCGGCAGCGCCCTCCCCATCACGGCGGCGTCCCTCGCTCTGCCGACCGGCGGCGAGGCCGGTGTCAGCGGTATCGATACTACAACTCTCAGGGGCCTCACGTTCAATGGCGCAACGTCGGTGAGCATCCCTCAGGGTCAAGTGGTGTATACGGATCCCATCGACGTCAAGATTACACCACAGTCCATGATCACCGTCACTCTCTACTCGCAAGCCGGTCAGACTGGGACCAGCATTACAGGCCATCCCGGAAGCCGTACGACCTCGTGGATGCAGCAGGGGAACCACGTCAATGCCTCCACTGTGACTGGGGCAAGCACGGCGCATTGGTATTTTTTGAATGCGGTAGAGGTTTGGGCCCCAAAGTCGACGGTGGCCTTGGTGATCCTCGGCGATAGCATCACAGATGGTCGTGGCAGCACTGATAACAAGAACAATCGGTTAGACTGACATGTGTAGAGAGGAATTAATAAAGGCTAACTCGCGGATTAGGTGGCCGGACCTGCTTCTCGCTAGAATGCAAAAGGAGAACATTACGAATATTGCTGTTGTCAACCAGGCAGCAGGCGGCAACACGGTTCTGACCGGAGGATTGGGCCCACCGTTGATGCAGCGCTACAAGCGTGATCTACTGCAAACAGCGGGTGCTAAATACGGCCTCATATTCGAAGGCGTGAACGACATTGGCGGTGGATCAGCAGACTCGGGCACGCAGTCACGAATTAGCAGCAGTCTGCAGTCATCATTCAAGACCATCGCCAATGACGCTAAGACGGCGGGCATCACTATGTTCGGAGCAACGATTACACCTTTTGGCGGCAGCGGGCAGGCCTACAGTAACCCGACACGCGACTCGGCACGGCAGACGGTGAATAAATGGATTCTCGCCGGTGGTGACGGTAGTTTCGCGGCCTCGATCGATTTCGCCAAGTTCTTGGCCAACCCGTCACAGCCAGCAAACTTGGCCTCACAGTACGATGGTGGTGATCATTTGCACCCGAATCCGGCTGGCTACCAGGCCATTGCCGATCAGTTCCCACTGACCATTTTTAAATGAAACGTCGTTACTTGAATATATTCCCTATCTATTATCCTCGAAAGCGTGCCACAAAAGATTTCAAAGTAGTATCAATGCGAGATCATGTGAAATGAAGCTTTCATCTTCATCTAAAAATGCAAACAAGCGTGCCCGGTAGTGAGCCGGTCTTATTATGTATGTATGCCATGTATAATCAGAAACGAGGAAAAGGACAAAAAGACACCAAACTTATTACCATTGGAACAACTCTTGCCGCCCCAGGCGGGGGTCGAACCCGCGGCCTTCGGATTGATCTGTTATATACCCAAAGGCGTATAAAAGTCCGACGCTCTAACCAATTGAGCTACCAGGGCTATGTGGATTTCGGATTTATTGTGACAGGAGACAATCGATTCTTGCTAGGCGAACTAGGAGCACGCCTCTGCCTATAGCTCGCATTCAGGTACCAATGGGACGTAATTAGCTGATTCTGGACCCCGTTCTTAAAGATACCACAGTAACTATCCCTTGCCAGCTGCACCGAGAACATGTGCCGGAAGCAGATGATCCTCTCCAGAGGTAAGCTATCACTGCGCACTGAAAGACCGACGAGGGCAAAGAGGAGATGAAGTATGACAGTGGGTTCCCTGGCGTTTAGGAGTCGACGCTTGGCCTGGCTATAACGAGTGTTGTGCAATTCGCTTTCACTAATCCCTTAACTACGTTGATTTCTAAAAGATGTGGAATTTAAGTAATGCGTTTCAGGGAGTTATGATTAGGGGTACTATTGCAACCAACTTAAGAATACAACAATAAGAAAGTCCAAGACTGATTCATCGTGGCGCGATTACATCCGCCCTGCTAGACTGCCATTATTTCTCCTGCCGAGTGGTCAAATAGCCACAGTCAGTAGCAAGGAGGCTAAGCCAACAGCACCAGCAAGCAGTCCAGCGTCCACCATCCCATGAACACTAAGCGACGTGGCGATAGTCGATAGAGGCACGGTTGATGACGATGTGCGGGTTGCCGTAGTGCGGGTCGTGCTATTCGAAGCCCCCGATCTCACACTGGACGACTCTAGGTCCGGGCCGATCGAGAGAGCAGAGATGCTAGTGGGTGTGCCTAAAGAGCTGCCGGTTACGCCGTCGACGTCCTCGGAGGCTGTGGGATCACTGGTTAGAATATCCATTGCAATATCTCAGTGGGAAGAAAGATGAAAACTTACTGGTTGCTGATTCACATGACGTGGTTTCGCTCCCAACGAGACCAGTTGTCGGCGCCGTGGTGCTACAACTGGTAACAGTAGATATCTCTACTGCAGAGACACCAGGGGTTATGGTGGCCTGGGTAGTTGTGGCTCCATACGATGGGCCTTCAGGGATGAATATACTAATCTTGGTAGTGAGGGTGGTATCGGTGGTGCTGCTGACGGTCGTGGTCTCCAAGCTGCACTTCGAGCGAGATACAGTGACTGTATGAGTTATTGTGACTGTGACGGGCTTGGTGAGGGTAATCGAGTTGGTGATGGTAACAGGCACCACGGAATATGGCGTGATGGTGTATGCAGGTGAGTCAGTAGACGCGCCGACAATAGTGTCAGTCACGTCCCCGTAGCCATAGCCTTGTGGCGTGCCCGCAAGGATTGGATTGGCAGCGAAGAAAACGCTGGCTAGGAATTTGGTTGGGAACATTTTGCAAACGAGTGGCTACTAGGAAGGCAAGGGATTGAGCGTAAAGGAACGGAAGACCAGACTTTGCGGGCGTGAGAAAGCTTCTGGCGAGCCAGCGTCGTGGGGATGAACATCATTATCTACTCACGCAAAGCAGCGAGAAATTGGACTATGTTACACATATGAAATTAAATGAAGCACAATCGGTTACCTGCGTAGATATCATTTACGAGGACAACGGGGATCTCTTATTTCTTTCTTGGCGTACAATATCGTTTCAATGTGGTACTAATAAAGATTGTGCTACTATTCCGTTCATCGTTTTGGTGCCGACGATCATGAAAACAATGCCGAATGCTTCGGAAATATGGAAAGTTAATGTCACACATGGGGCACTAGCAACAGTGCATGCGAAATTTTGGGGTATCACGATGGTCCTGGATGGAACATCGGTATAGTCTACGACCCAGCTTACGCAATGTTCCTTGCTGTAGAGCTCTTCGAGACTAACAATGCGAACTCGAATGTCAATGTGATAAGCGCCACTTATACGTTCAGGGGCAGCAGACTGGAATATTTGTCCGTAAGGAACCGAAGATAGTCATGAGATATATATCCCCCTATAGGTTGGCGAGGAATATGGATAATGAAGCAACTAGGTACGTATAGCTCATGTAACTACGACATCTTCAGCACTGGGCTGAATTCATGGTCATTGATCTAATTTCTCCAGATCACCGTACACGACCCTAGCTAGGTGTTTGCATACCTGTGTGCAATGCTATCCGTAATTTAGAAGCTTGAAATTAGGTAGCATCTCGTCAATTACAAATTATCAATTACCTTGTACACTTAGGTGCGGTTGGCGGCCACACATTTCCGGCTATATTCTGGCGGAAAGGGCATTCTTGGAGTTTGCAATAATGAATATCATCGCCGTCAGTCTATGTTATAAAGCCGGTGACAACATAGTGGCGTATAGGCAAGTTTGATTTATGATTCGCGGTCTCATAATTAGAATGAAGTGCTACATTATGATACGGGAATGTTCGCATGGGGGGCTTCTCACGAAAGGCGGTGATTGCCAAAGGCATCATCCACTAGCCACGGCAATACTACAGTCCTGCAAACACTATTAACAGCAGAAATAAGAAGTCTAACTTATTAGAGGTTTACCTTATTTATGAGTTTGCTTGATTGGAGATCAAATGTAGGATTGTTCTGGAGAATTTGCATCCAGCTGAGGACTCGAGCAGGCTGAACAATGAATGTGTGAGACGATTAAAATGTGGTTAGAGAGAACAGACCATCTTGTGTGTCGCCCTTGGAATGGTAAGACTGGGCCTCAATTCTCAAACGATGGTTTATTGTAGAGAAACAATTTTCACCAAAATAAAGGATTTCATGAAAGCGTATCCCAAAAATTCTCCTATGCATATGCGGGAATTCCAGGTCCACGGATAGAGTGAAAGTAGTGTTAGTGGGTAGGGCTGGTCAGAGGATGATAGTTTCAGTTGCTAAGCCACATGCCGCTTATTAAATTTAGACACGCGCTCTAATTCCATAGATTTAGGTCTTACAAGCCTGAATTATAGGCTCACCTCAAACCTCGCCCTAAAAGAGCTTCTTAATTGACCATAATGGTACGTAGGAGTGTGGCTGATGCCTAGCTCCATGCATGACGACATAGCTAACCCCTTTATATAATATATAGATCACTTTGTTGAATATAGGGGCTTAATTTGATACTGTTGATGCGATTTCAGGTGTAGATATCTTAGCTTTCCGTGATATCGGGAGAATTGACCACTTAATGGATGTAATTGTAACTGTCGAATTTCAAGGTGGATATGGAATGGCTAGTATAGGCGAAGATTAGTTCATAGCAATGTTCCTTGGGAGCGAGCGTGTAATATTCTCTTGTCATAGATCAACTGTAACGTAATTTTCGTAAATCGAATGTTCAACAAAGTTTTACCTTGATTGTGGTTCTAAGTGTAGGCATACGTAAGATGCCGCAAACATCAACGCACCCCACCTTGGTAACCTTCTACTTTTGGTAGTATACCGGAATAGCGCTGCAGTTCTATGTCATGATGGTTGCGTCACGGTAGGGGGCTCAAGATGATCTCATGGAGATAGAACATCAAGTGACGTCTGTCCACTTAAAACCTATCGAATGCAGTGCCTCCGCCTAATATTAGTCTTCTTGATTTCGAGGATCTGGCTCTTGAGTGCTAATGTGGCGTCACGATCGATCTACGATAGATAGGCGGACAGGAGTTAATAACTTTCGTGGGGCCTAACACCATGTGAACGCCTAGCCTTGGTGGAAAAGGGTTTGAGGACGATGCGGGGAAAGCTGGTAGTATACAGTAGGTAACATTTTCCGTGACGGTAAGATCGTCAATGTAGTTAAATACAATAAGTAATTCATACGTTACCGTTAATAACACGTTACAATTGAGAATCGCACAATTTAAAGATATCATATGTGTTATCTAACAGCACTGGCTCTAAGGATTGCAGTAATATGCAAGCCATAGCTCCGAGTCTCATGGTGATCACAGATGAAGCTGTTGCCCTTTCTCATCTGCCTCCGGGGCTTAGCCGCGTCACTTGACTGACGTTGTTCCTTTATAGTAGTTCCCGTTGAACTTTTTGACGTCGCAAGCCACATGCTTCCCATAGTGTCGCAGTTAATTTCTATCACGTGGGTTTTGACGTACTGGGGGAAGGGCAGCTGGAATCGCCCAGGGACTTGGCAATTCCCTCAATTAGAATAGGAGAATATTATTCCCATTGCAACTTCCGAATTCATCGAGCTTCCAATTTCGGAAGTTAACAGTTATGCATGTCGGCAGGCACTTAAGGTTGATGAGACCAGGTATACCAACCCTTGCTCAACTGTCGGCACATGGTGCCCCATGGTGGCCCTAGTGGCCGTACCAACTATACATCATAGGTAATTATAGAAAATCGGAAACTTCAATTAGCCAAGAATCTATACTACTTTAGGGGTATCATGAGTGTAACTAGTAGTATAACATATTCTCTGGGTAACATTTAAACTACGTCTTAGTTTTAGAAGACGGGCGATTTATACAGTCCGAGCATTACTGGCTACTGAGAGACAAATGGCGCAAGCCATGTCGCAACAAGCCGGCGCCTTTCAGTTTGACCTCGTGAGACCTCGTGAGCGTTGAGTTACGTACTTATCCTACGTACGTGCTTGAAATAGGGTTGGCGGCCGACACACAAATCGAGTGTACCCGAGGCTCTCGGACCAATGTGCAGATCCGGGCGATTCCATTCTGCTGCTGCAAGGATTGGTGGGATTAAGGATGGAACTGTGTGTTTCGAGGTATAGTCAAGTGTAAGTAGTTGTCGATCTCCTAGTCCCGGTCGAGCAGATCCGGCCGATTCCACATCCCCACGCATGAACCACTACTGTTAGTCTACGAGTACGGAGTATAGGTATATATATCATCACACGTACAAAATGGATGTACAAATTGAATCACCTGATGCAATTATCTTACAGTTATTCGTATTCTAAGTAAAGAGAATCTTAGTACCTGTAATGTGGTTTCTCAATACTGTCAGACTACCTACTTATACTGCAGTATTGTGCACGAAGCTTGCTAGTACGTAAGGTTGAATCCCTGAAACGGGTTTAGCGTTAGGCTGACGATCCTCAGCTG